AGTGACTGGCTCTCTGAGAAGGATTTTTTTTAATGGATTGTTACACCTTATTGCTTTGAACGTATTTTGGAGTTGATTTTGTTTGCTGTTTTTAGCTTGGTATTTGTCTGACTCTTTCAAAAATATTTGGAAACTTACTGTATTTAGCTCTGAAATATTGTCTTTTAATGATGCGAGCCATCTTGTGTCCTTTTAGGAGAAAAAGGCAGGGTAAAAATATTGTAACAATCGTTAAAAAAGGCTGCCTCTATCGGTAGGTGTTCTTCTGAACATCACACCTGTTTCACTTCCCACTCTATGTAAAGGAAGAGTCCTGCCGGGGGATAACAGAGGGGATAACACCAAGAATATATGAACTGCACACAACCGCCAAATTGACTAAGAAGGCCAGGCACCCACAAAACAGCAAGTCTGGAAATACCAGCTTCCTCTACATTTAACTACAAAAAAACTCAGTGGCTAGAACTCTCTAGGAGAAGAGAATAATCCCACACCAACTAAAACTAGCACCAGCAACTGGTCTCAATTCGGCCAAATGTTCAAAGCATCTCATGAATGTGCTCAGCACTGCCCTGCCAAGTTTTCTGAATAGCAAACCAGCTGGAACTACATATCCAGTCAATTCTAGCAGGGGTAATTCTTCAGCCTGCCTGGAAGTAGCCAAGCTTTGAACTACTGCAATCTCCTGGGGGGGAGGTCAGAAATGTTAAGGGGTGAGTCATATTTAACAAGAAGCAAACTTTCAACAATCTCCTCCTAACTGCAGTGGCAGCTATAAAAGCAGCACAACAACAGGATTATGGGTGGCCTTAACATTTTAAAATATCTGGCTAGACTGTGGGCTGTCAACTGTTTGTAAGGTGAACCTCCAAATGAAAGTCAATACTATATTTTAGGGGCATAATAATAGTAAGAGAAAAGAGGTGAGAAACCCAGAATAAGCACAAAGTCACAAAACCATGTGACTGTGAAAGGAAATTGCAGCAAAAACAGCACGTATGACCAAGACATGGTCAAGATATACAGCATATTATTTTTACTTATAAGTGAGAGGGATGAAATACATAAAGAAACACTCCATGCATAATCCCCTGATGATTTCTAGGTGAACATTCTGACTTTCTCATTCTGTCAGGCTTTTGGTCTATTCTTTTATTCCCAAAAAAGGCTTCTTTTTGCCCTGTTTCAATCTTCCCTGGGTTTCTCCCCTTCACAGCCTTTTTATATTACAGGATTTTAATGATGCAAACTGAATTAGGGAGAGCGTTTCAAGAAAACGAGCCAGGATAGAAATACTTTTAAAATGAATTATACAGCTCTGAATTCTGAAAGCGAGAGTGTTTGAGAAGATATTTATGTGATACAATTTCCACAGTGATTTAGCTGAATAGCAAGCCAACTGAATGCAGAGGTCTTTTTACTAAACAAATTTCAGTCTGATACATATTTTTTAAAACACAGATGAACAAATTGGTTGGAACCCAGGCTCCACGTACTGCAAAAGGCAAAATACATTCCCCCCCGCCAAGCATTCTGGAAGAAAACCTTGGGCAACATATTTTTGGTTTGATTTCACTACTTCACTCGCTCCTTATGTAGCTTCTGCAAAACCAGGCTTGAGCTACGCCCAGGATGCTTTCCAAAGCTTCCAACAACTAATGAAGCCAGTAAACCATTCCCCTCCCATTCTAGGTCTCATGTTAAATCTAGCAATAGATGTGAGAAAATCTCTCTACTAAACCAAGATGGAAAAGATTCCCTTTTTTCTCAGGACCACATGCTTGCATACTCAGGCACTAGGCAACTTAATGTTCAGACAGAGACTAAATCCTATGGCAAGGCATGTCTTTCTTTTATCTTTCATAAAGCTTGAAGATCACAACTGCCATCATATGGAATAGGACTCAAGAAATTTGGGTTCAATTCTTACTTGGTCATCTATCTCATTAACGACCTTGGGTGAGCCATAGTGACTCAGCCAGATTTACAGTGGTGCCTCGCTAGACGATGATAATCTGTTCCACTGAAATCACTGTTTAGCGAAATCATTGTCTAGTGAAAAGCATTTCCCTATTGGAATGCATTGAAACCTGTTCAAATATAATAAATAAATAAAGGTTGAACTTAAAGTAAGTTTTAGCCATAACAACCCATAGGAAAGCCGATTTGCGAACCGCCAATCAGCTGTTTAAATAGCGGTCTTGCGAAGCTTAGGTCCTGAAAAGATCTGTTTTGCAAGCACGGAGGGAGCTGTCAAAATCATTGTCTAGCGAAAATCGGTTTGCGAAGCAGAGACCAAACACTGTCCAGCGAAATTCCCCCATAGGAATCACTGTTTTGCGAATCTCTATAGCGATCGCAAAAAGTCAATGTCTAGCGAAAAAACTGTCATACGGGGTAACTGGAAGGATAAAATAGGGAGTCAAAGAGCTGTGTAAGTATTTTTGAGCCCAGTGCAGGGGAAACAGGTTCAAATATAATAAATAAATAAAGGTTGGACTTAAAGTAAGTTGTAGCCATAATAATAGTAATGATGATGTGCCATCAAGTCAATTCTAACTTATGGTGACCCTTTTCAGGGTTTTCTAGGCAGAGAATTCTCCGAAGTGGTTTCCCATTCTCTTCCTTCTGGGGCCACTCTGGGACTGTTTAACTTTTCCAAGACCACACAGGCTGGCTCTTTTCCTGGAGGCACACTAGAGAATCAAACTCCCAACCTCTGCCTCTGCAACCAGATACCTAGCAGATATTACTGAGCTATCCAGCCAGCTGCAGCTGGAATAGGACCACTGAATTAATGAACCTTATGAAAGACTCACCACTGATTTAAGAGGCTAACTCTAGTTGAAAATTATGCCGGATTTCAGCCAATATAATATAATACCATTGCCACTAATGCAATGTGCATTACTTTTTCTACTTCCAGAATTTTCTAGGAAGACAAAACCGTAAGTTTTTTTTTTGGGGGGGAATTAAAAACTTGTTTTAAGGCCTGTCTTCCTATTATTTTAAAGAAAGGTTCTATTTCTTTTGAACAAATAATTATTCTTCTAGGATAGTGGTTTCCAACCTTGGGTAACTTAGGTGTTCTTGGACTGTAACTCCCAGACACCCCAGCCAGCACAGCTAGTGGTGAGGTCTTCTAGGAGTTGTAGCCCAGGAACACTTGAGTTACCCAAGGTTGGAAACCTTGGGTAACTCAAGTGTTCAGTCCGCGGACTGGCAGGGGAAGGCGGGGCACCCTGCACTTGTGCGCATGTGCAAACGGCAGCCCAGTGTCCGCACAGGTGCACACGCTTGTATGCATGCGCAAATGCTGCCACAGCACTTGTCTGGTGCACTTGCACTCGTGCACAAATGGCGGTACAGCGCTTGCACAGGTGTGCTGGAGTGCACTTGCAGGCACAAATGGGCTGTGTGGGGGTGAGTGCATGCAGGTGGTGGGGCAGGAGGTCTGTCTCCGCGGCCTGGTCCTGCTCACGCCACGGACCGGCACTGGGCTGCGGACTGGGGGTTGGGGACCTCTGTTCTAGAAGACAAGAAAAGCACATGAAAGACTAAGGTTGTAGCCATGTGGACCATGCAAGGTCTGAGGCTACTTTAGAGAAATTTTGGGTTTTTCTTTTATGCTTTCAGTTTTATGCTTTATATTTCCAGTTCATTAAGGAAATGTGGGTAGCAGTAATTTGCCCAATTGGTTTGATGGTAAATAATTCATTCATGTCTCCCACTGTTCCAGTCAATCAGTGCAAATGCATCAAGATGAATGACAAGCACTCAGGCATTTAACAGTCATGGTGATGTTATTCAGACTACCTGCATTCAGGTTTCTGCTGTTTCCCATAGGCTTGGAGCTTGTAAAGGAACATCTGATAAAACAACAGGAAGCAACAGGCAGGAGGTAATTCACTGCAGCTGTGCAGCTCAATACTAGGTTCATTGTGAAGGCTAATGAGTTAATTGTTCAACTCTCTTTCCTCTTTTTCTGTTCTCCTCAAAGATTTTCTTGAATCACTATGCTTAGCCTTCTCTGTGCCAAACTTTCCACTTGTTATAAAGAATGGCAAAACTGTGATTCCTGCTCCAAAGCTCACAAACATCCTGCAGGAGTAGTGTGTCTCTCCATCTACCCACCCATCCCACCTTCAGTGAATCCAGTGCTTATGAAAAAGGCCAGTCTCACCTTTAGAAATAAGTTTTCTTTATGATCCACTGCTACAGTGGTTTCAAAGATCAAGCCATTTCAGGATAATCTCTCTGGACAGAAAGCATATTCTGTCTGGCACAAGCTCTGCTGGTGCCAACCAAATATTTAGTGCTAGCACAGAATTAGAAGACAGTTTTCTAAACTTCTATTTCCCACCATCTGTCACCTAGAGCAGTAAGACACAGCAGCTGTTCCCACCCAAGATGTCCTCAACCATCTCAATGCTATGAGAAAGCGGGGAACCACAGTATGCAAAACACACAGAGAAAGGGCCAAAGCCTAATGTTAGAAGCCACCACTTTGTATACAGCTGGTGTCTCAGGCTCAGGAAACAGAGACAGGACACACCTCTGCCAGACAATGGGGAAAGTTGCTCAAAGTGAAGGCAGAGGAACCACTGGCCTGACTCCATAACAGGATAACTCCGTATAATCACTGCATCATGTAGCCTCCTTCTGACATGTAGTTTTAGAAGAACTAGCCATGCTAGTCTGTGCAAGCACATCAGGCACAATTTTTTAAAAAGGCAAAAACATTGTGGCACCTTGAAGACTTAAGTGCTATATTTTAATGTGGGTTTTCATGGATCAAATGTACCTCCTCAGAAATAAGAGTGGCATCTGTCATGATGCTGTCCAGTGCTGCCTACAAAATATAAGGCTGCATGAACCTCTACGTTGGTCATGTTTGGTAATACTGATGCTTCCATCTTTGAGGAAAGGACAGAACAGCAAGTCTCTCTACAGCTCCTAAATTTTAGCCCAGATAGGTAACATGTGCTTTCAACTCTTACTTTTTTCTCATCATCTTCTGTGGCCTTCTTGAATTCATGCTCAAATGAGCTTGCCAGCTCATTGAAAAGGCCTACTTCCTCACAATTCTTTAAAAAACGAGTTGGTGTCGGTGTCTGATCTGTTCAGGGAACAAAAAGAAAAAGACAATTAAGACATTTATTTTAAGAAATCAGAGCGACAATTCAGACTTCCCAGAACGAGAAGCCAGGAATAGGTATTTCAAGTAGAACTTCCTACTATGTTAGCCACTGAACATCCCCTGGGATATGACAACACCCGGTTGTCAGATCCTTCCACTCCGGAAGCACCACTGTATTGCTTCATCAATGGAAAAGGTGCTGCAATTGGCTTTTTACACTTTAGAACTTCAATCTGTGTTTTGTTGAATTTTTACAAAACGCAGTTCTCACTTGCTGATGACACAGAATGTGCAAATATACAACACACGCAGCAAAATGGAATCTTCTATGAAAGAGCCACTTGAGAGGAGAAGGTGAGGAGAAGGAATTCTCGCTCAGCTAGAGGAACAGTTTGAATTGAGTAAGGCTGGTTAAAAAGGTGGATTGTGGGCACAAGATACAGAGCAGGGGAAGTAAGAAACAGAAGGCAGAACTGGTTTTACTGTATCAGTGCTCAAGGCAGAGTGAAAGGAAGGCTACCTAGAGGAGAATCTTGACATGGTGAAGCTGGTGGAGGAATAACTAAACGTATTTAAATACTACATATAACCTCCCTTCCAGTGTTTTTAAAACACTATATGTAACATACGCACCCACAGCTTTCTCCTTTCTGTTTTCAGATTGCCTATTTTTAATTGCTGCACAAAGAAATCATATTTGCTTGGTATTGCAAAGTTCTGCATATAACTACAACTTCCTATGGTGAAGCAAATTGTAGTTACAGTAGGCCTACTTGAATCAATGGAACTTACAGGAGAGTTAATTCACCACATCCTCAACGATTCAATGGGTCTACTCTAGTGTGGTTTACTATACCATGGAACAAGATTTTGGCCATTATGCACTGAAATAAATTTCTAAACATATTCTGTGCCATGGTTACCACCCCAATGCAGGAGACATTCAAGAGAATGCGAGACAGCCAACTGTCAGACATATTTTGACTTGGATTCTTGCACTGAGCAGGGGGTTGGAATTACTAGTCTTATAGGCCCCTTCCAACTCCATTATTGTATGATTTTGTGTAGAGAAGAGTTCTCTAAACTGCTGCTCTCCAAATATGCTGGGCTACAACTTCCATCATCTTACAGCCATCAGACTCTGGGAATGTGGGACTTGCCACTGTTGGGCACCAGCTTGGGAAAGGCTGAAAGAGCAGCAATGTTTTATCACTGGAATTATGCATTTCTGGATACATTTCCCTTTTCTTTAAGACCTACTTTTTTCTTGTTATCTATAGAAAAGAAAAGGAATGGTGGAGAGTACTGAAGCCTTAATACATGTTCACCCCCCCCCCTTAAGTGAAACTGAACCATCTCAGGATCTTGAATCCTGCAGCTTGGAATATAAGCAGCTGTTCTTGTTAGACCCAATTCCAATTTTGCTGGATCTCTTAATAGGTTGGCTACTGCTAGCAAGCCCAAAATCTCAGAAGAGACTTCTCTTTTCACATTACTTTATTGGTGTTGGGGATGGGGACACGATTTGCTCCGGCTAAGAAGGTTAAACTTTGCAGGCTAATTTTTTCAGGATGTTTGCAAGGACAGGAGTGGGGCTCTGAGTGACTCATGTATTTAACTAAATAGCTCTTGCAAGAGGGATAAATAATATTTTGGATCAATTCCACTTGTTGCAGGTAGATGATGTGAATCCATCCATCCCACCACAAGTATACTTGACTCTTGTCCAACATGGTTCATGAAATCTAGTAGGAGTGGGTTAACTGGATGGGACCAGGAGATGGTAAATGCCTCATTGCAGCAGAGGATGGTGCTTTCTCCCTTGAAAGAGGCGGCCGTGCAGAGGACCTTTCTGGCTGAGACATATGTGCCAACTACCACTCTACTACAAATACCTTCTTTTTGGGCAATGCACTTGAGCGTATGGTGCCTGGGCAACTTCAGATGTTCTCGGAAGAAACTGATTATCTGGACTCATTTCAGTCTGGTTTCAGGCCAGGATTTGGTACTGAAATGGCCATACATTAGTTGCTCTGATTCATGACCTGCTCCAGGCTAAAGACAGAGGGAATGTGGCCCTGTTGGTTTTCCTGGACCTCTCAGTGGCTTTTGATACCATTTATTATGGTATCCTCTTGAACAAGCTCCATGCACCGAGAGTGGGAGGTACGGAACTCTAGTTGTTCCATTCCTATCTTCAGAACCCTTCTGAAGAGTGGCACCGCGGAACACAATGTAATAATGAAATAATGTCATAGAAAGGGTTATTTGTCAGTGTTGCAACACATAACAGGAGAGGGTAAAGTTGTTGATTTCAGTATACTGTTTGTACACAACAAAAAGATGGAGAACAGCAGAAAAGTACTCCACTTTGTCCAAAGCCCAGTTGTTCATACCCAGCACCCTTTTATACCTGGCATTTTTCTCAGGCAGGAAGAAAGAAGTTGCAAGAGCAAGAAGGATTTTGTTTATGAACTCCTGAGTCACATAAAGTGCAGCTACACGGACTCTCCTCATCATTCTATATTGTGAAATTATAAAGAATTGTGTTGGTACTATGTCCTAGAAGTGGCATTTTGCTTTGTCATGGACTTCAGTCACAGAAAGCGGCCACAGCTCTGCAGAATGCCACATGCTTTGAAACTTCAACAGCCAGTGTTTCCTGTTGAAAGGATTTGAGAGCTGGAGCCAGCCAGTTTTCTGCTTGAAGTCCCTTCTTTTGTTAAACCATGGGACAGACAACAAGGTAGCTGAGATGGGTGCAGCGTGGACTTAAATAAAGCAACTCTTTCTCAAGCAGAGAACCTCAAAAGTCTGTCCATCCCTTCTAAAAATGCAGGATGCTGGATAATCAACACAGTGTGTGTGTGTGTGTGGGGGGGGGAATATCCCTTCTTGGTAATAAGCCACTTCCAGGCAACCGGGCATATTTCCCTCAACTGTTATATAAAGGGCTGCATTGACTGCAGCACAGTGAGAGAAAGAGAGAATCATCTGGGCTTTGCAAATGCACTGCCAACAACAGCCAACACGGGAGATGGAGTTTCAGATTTATTAACTGACAGCCTAAAAGCTTGAGAAAATAGACACCTGGGACTAGGAAAGGAAGCTGAGCCTGTCAGCTTTTGTTCACCACCCTGAAAAGAAAAGCACACAAAGAAATGTGAAAGACCTTTTGTCTACAAATCTTTCACTCTCAAATCACAAAACCTGACAGAACCACAATGCTTTAAAAATGTATACATCTAGAAACCCCTCTTCCCCATTTCAGATTGAATCAAAGTCACAACACAGATGGAGGAGATATTATTCAATGTATCTGCTCCTTTGTAATCAGTCTTACAACTGGCCTCTCTTACGTGTGCCGTTTTCTGAGCTGACCTAGCCCACAGTACGTACCTGCAATGATGACAGAATCTGTTCTGGCAGGACCAAATTTCAGTGTCATCTCATGCTTGAGTTTATGAACCGCCAGGTGGTCCTCATTTGTAAACCTCTGAAATGAAACATTTGGTTGAGTTGAGGAGGATGATAAATAAACACATTATTTTTTTATATTATACTGTTCTTTCTGCACCAGAATTCGGGGTAGGGCAGGAATGCCCCAAGACAAAAAGCCCTGTAATAAAATCCATTCAATGTGCTAAGCAAAAACAGAACAGGACAGATTGTGAGAGAAGTACTGCGTGAACACATTTTCTCTAAACGGAAGGCAAAAAGCCATAACATGCTGAGCTCTTGGCTAATAGGAAGCAATCGGTTTAATAATCAAAATTTAAGAAAGGGGGGGAAGGCAACAGTGTGTAGTTACTAAAACAAAACTAGAAAATGTGAAATATTCTCTGCGGTACTCTACAAAATGTGCCACTTCATTATTGACTAACGAAGAGAGAAATTATTTACTATTGGCAGCACAGAGGCAGGGAGGAGAATCAGTTAATGAGCTGGGTTATGTCAAGCAGAATTGGCATGGACCGAGTGATTTGGTCCTGCTGTTTATGAAACATGACAGAGTTAGGCTGGCCCAAGATCACTGGTCAGCGGCTACAAACAAAGAGACATGCAACAGATCTTTAACTGTTCCCCAAAAATAAGCGACTGAACGTCTCATTTGCCAAAATATGTGACATTCCACCTGCAGGATGATTAGAGGCAGGAACAAAGTGCTACTGGTCCCTGGGACTGTGCTGGCAAAAATGAGCTCTCCTCACAAAAGCCACATTGTGGCTCAATATGTTTATTACTGCTGGGGCTGCCAAATGTTATAAGACATTGCAGCTGATTAATCATCTGCCTTTTAACTGATTAAGTCATTAAAATTTTGTGGCATTTGCATGTCACCAGAAACTCAATAAAGTTGCTTTTTTGCAGTACCAAAGGAAATGACCAAACTCAACTGACCATTTATTCTTAGAAAGAAAAACCAGCTGTAATATTTTCTTTCATGCTTTACTGAACACATAAGAACTATAGTTGTTTTTTCTTTTCTTTTTTTAAAAAAAGATGTGCTTTTTATTTTCAATGTCACTAATTAAAATGGGCTTCTATTACCTTATGTCTAACAATGAAACTGCAAGAATCGTTCTTACAACAATCAGTGAGGTAGGAATTAACAACTCCCAAAGCAATCTCATCCACAAACATAAATGCATTTTGTACTCAGAATCAAGACCTGTGCTCCAATCCAGAGTCCTGCATATGTTTACATACATGAAACTATTCCACAAGACTCCCCCCAGACTTCAATATGCGTTCCTTTGTGCTGATAAAGCTGTTAAAACAAATCCCAACAAAATGAATGCAGATGCCTTTGTGGATGGAGGAGCTCCACCATAGCTGCTATGTAAGTCTTTCCTGATACAGAAGGACTAAGGTAGCAGAGGAAAAAGGAGGAAAGGGAAGAAGAAGAAGAGAAAAAAAAAGAAGAAGAAAAGGGACACAGATAAATAAATAAAACTTGAATTTACTTTGTGTTTTCTAACATTCTGCTGATACATCTGATCTGAAATATTCCGACAGAACCATGCCACGGGATTTCATGTAGTCTGTTGCTCTGTCAATGTCCTGACATTATCTTATCTCTAACAACAGCTGTTGAATCAGAGGAATTATTAACATTTCTTTTATTACCCCTAAAATAACAATTTGCTTCTATGAATTACTTGAGGCATGACAATATTGTCTGGCCTCTCCAAAAGCAGAATAACTTGATTTCAAAGCAGACACTTAGCAGTGAAAGCTAGATGACCTGCTTCAAAATTTTCAGTGTGTGTTGAATATAAAATTACAACCACAGGACTCCAAATCAACCTTCCTGTCATTTTATTGCAAAAATCTATTTCTGAACAGGAAATCAAACAATGAAAGCAAACTTGTCATGGGATTCAGCCTGCAGTGTTGATTTCTCCTCAAAATTCAATGGAGAAAGGTATATGAGAGGAACCATGGAACAAGGAAGGATTTCAGTGAAGAACATTTAAAAGTTCCAAGAAAATTAAGTGTAACAGCTTCAGCAAACATTGTTACAAACATTGTTACAAATCTACATTTGTTCTCAGGAGTATGGTTTTGCTTTAACAGTGGAGGTGTTCCAATTGTTCTTCAAACAAAATATCGCTTGAAAAACAAACACTATCAGCAAGCTGTACAGTGTTCAAATACGTTCCAAAAATCTGACAATTATGTGAAAATCTTTTCACTGATACTGCTATAAAGTGTATATTTTTGAGTTGTATTTAGTAATACAGGTAAGGCAAGGACCAGATTGTTTTAGATGCTTCCAATAAGTAACTGCAATGTTTGAAGTTGTTATCTAACCTATGCTCTTCAGTGTGGTGGACAAAAACAAATAAATTTTAAAAACACACGATTCAGCCTTCAAATAGACAGTAGATATTACTTTAAGTCCTTTTCTGGTATGCTTTTAATGTACTGCTTTCAGCCATATTTTTAAAGGCTATACTTTTGTCATTCTGTCTTCAATTCAATACCTCAAAGTAAAAAAAAAGCATGACTTCTGAAAGTAGATGAGTGAAGGCAACATAAAAGCAGTTTATTTTCTCCAGTAGGCATGGAATAACATTGGTAAGAACTAAACAATTTAGTAGCAAACCTGGCACTCTTCTAGGCGCAGCTTTAAAAATAAAAGGTTCAATGAAGAATATCAAATTAAAATCCACATCTACAAGTCTTGCTCCTTTGACACCACAATCTGGCATCAAGCAAACAGAGGTTTTGCTCTGTTGGGATAGCAAGCAGCGGCAGAAGGACTATAAAGCATCGGAATTGTGAGTCTAGCTCATTTATTTACCACAATTGAAGGATTTGTGGCATCAAGATGTAAAAGTAAGTGCTGTGACACTATGCTGTATTTCATCAAGGAGTGATGATGAGACCATTGCCACTGCCGTATAAACATGGCACATGAAGATGTAAAACCAAGTCTCCTCCTAAAAGTATGACTATAATCAAGACTGTAGGTTCTGCTCTGATCCACAGTGACATTTGGTTTAATCTTGGACCTCTTCTCCATGTAGTCAAGCCCCACAACCCAGAAGCCCAAAGCTGCAACTATGATACAGAGGAGACCCATGCAGAGGTATGCCATGCACAGGTCTTGGGAATCCCAGAGACCTATTCAGCTGACAGTAGCAGAACGGATTCTTCAGCATGAAGAGCCAAGATTCACTGGCTCATAAGTATCCAAGTGCATACAACCTCTCTATTCTTGTCTAATCTCCCAGCAAAGGAGACAGAAGGATAGCTTGGAAGTTACCCACAAAAGGAAGGGGTCAAGGCTCCCAGCCAGGGCACTGCACCATTAAATTATAGCTAGAAGGGTTTGGGATGCAGTATGGTTGCTTTACTGTTTACTGTAGACCTGAACAAAAACTGCTCAACTGCTGCTGGAAATCTGCACTGGAAACAGGTTCTGGTCCTGCACCAGTCTCAGTTACCCAGAACAAGAATTCAGAACAGTTACTTTAGAGGCTACAATTAAACTTAAGTTTATTATTATTATGACCATAATTCTGCCTTGTTAGATATGGAAGACTAAAATACAATAATGAAGCACACATTGTTTACAATTGATACAAAGCAGGCTAAAATTCAGATTACAATCAAGTATGAGTTCTCGATCTGATTACTACATTGATTTAGTAATCTGTTTTCTTATTGAACAAGCCACTTACATTTGAGGCTACAATTACCATCATCTCCCAGTTAACATGGTAGAGTCTGGGAGGTGCAATCCCAAAAAGTAAGTTTTCCAAGCTTTTACCTGGAATTGGCTTTATCTGTTTCATCAGACTCACTCTATAGACCCATCCTTTATTGATCTTACTATTTTTCTAGAAACTTTTCCAAGGCATGCATTTTATTGTTATACTTTACAAGCTTTTATAGGATTTTAGCAACTCTACACAGTTGCAAACCCAAACAGACTGCAGCTTTCCAACAAATGTCGCAATCTGGAGATTATATAAGGCACTTCAAACCCTAAGTCATGGTTCTTCACATGAAAGCCTGTGTCAGAACACAGAAAGAGAAGGTGGGACTTTGAACCACAGCATTTCATCTGCTTCCTTGGCTGCAATGTCTGGATGCTGGAAAGGCTTATTGGGACATAAGTTTACCCAGATGCCAATGGGGAGTTTTCCTTTAGCAGAATGAAACTCAGTTCTGCCACAAGTGAAGAGAAGCACTTTCAGTGCAACCTTTCATTACTCTGCAAGAGTAGCATAGTTTCCTCTGAAGACTTTACCAGGGTTAGAAGGCTCAAGTGACATCCCCATAAAAAGGAACTAACTGGTTTATTTGGGGGTTTTTAGTTTCAGGAGGTATAGGGTTCAGTTAGAGACACGGAAACACAGCATCTGAGGCCGCAGGAGCCTGATGTCATTCTAAATGGCACAGACAAGACGGAGGGAGAGGCTGTGCAGTCAAGTAAGAACTAACTTATAGCAACCCTAATGGGTTTTTCACAGTAAGTGAGGTATTTAAGGAATGGTTTCACTCGCTCCACTTGCCCACTAGTGTGTTTCTGTGGCAGAGCCAGGGAACTGAACCCAGGTCTCCTGAGTCCTAGTCCATTACTCTATCCATTACATCACACTGGGTACCCTGAGCTGTAGATAAAGTTAAAAAACAGGTATCCCAAGTTGCTGTTCGGGAAGAGACTCCTGCTATATCATACCTTCTTCCAATTACTATCTAAAGGAGGTGAAACGCTGCTTTCCTTCCAAGCACTGTGCATGCTCCAGAGGCATCAGTGGGGGACAGAGGCTGAAGAGAACGATAAATCACCACCAGGAAGTCAAGCAAGTGTTGCTAAGATTAGAAGAAAGTTATCTATTTCTGACTGCAAATGTAAAACAGCAGTTACAGGCAACTATCCATACATGTGGCAACTTAGGGCAGACTCATACCAGTTGGTGAACCCCACACTACCATCTTGATTGGCTATGTTCTTTATACCGCTTTCAGCTAAAGTTA